TGTGGTGCCCTGTGTAACAAGCTGAGTCATGTGAGTCTAAATCCTACTGACCTATAAGCCGAGGTGTAGCTTCCCTCAAAGATTGTGATCTAATGGTAGAAGGAAGTCTCTGAATGAGTAATGTAGTCCTTGAGAAAAAACACCAGGAAACTCATTGCCAGTTCACATTTCCTTGTCTGACAATACATTCCATTACACTGCATTAACCAGTGGAGGTGTCTGAGCAAGAGCTGCAACAACTTCAGCGCGGTGGGTCTTACCAAGCGCACAGGTGCTACCAGGGAAGCTGTCATCCTCACACAAACCCAGGTATGGTGAAACCACCTGCTTAACCAGCTCTTCCAGCTGCATGTAGCCCTCACTGGGACCCGTAGGTTCATGGACACTCTGAAATTCAAGCATTAAAGCAAACATTTCACTTACAGTTTCAAATCATATAATTCTATATTTCTAGAAGCCAAAAGAACTGGAAGGGATACGTAAGGGAATATTTCCTGGACCTGGACCAGGAAATGGCTACAACATAACTCCAACACTACCAATAGCAATGGTTGGAAAACTAAGAATTCATCTGCAGAACACAAGCTTCACCACTTTTCACAGTGCCTTCCTTCAGAAAGGAAAATCAAAATCCATGGAAACTAAAATGTGGGGAAATACAAACCAGAGGGGCCTAGGGCTAGGCAAGGGTTTGGAATATGGATCTTTTCTATGGTTTGCATTTCAGATGATACAAGAGCTAATATGCGTCACTGTATGCTTGGATCATGGTGTATGCATGAGGGCCACCCAGACCTTTGATACATAGGCCTGGGCAGAAATTTTTTGCAAAGTGGAGGCTGCCCAGACCTTCCATCCTCCCTTTAGGCCACTGAGACAGAATCTAAAGACCAGACTGGGTCCAGATGTTTGGTGCCTCCATGGCTAGTTGTATAAGTGTCTGGGAATTGAACCCAGGTCTCCTGTCAGGTAGACAAGGATTCTACCACTGAACCACAGGGGACTCACTGTATAAGTAACACTTGAAAACTACTTCTCTGTCCCCTTGAGGTCTAGATTTGGAGGGTGGTCCCCTTCAAAAGTCTGTGCTGCTTGGGAAATGTCCTTGAAAGATCCTTGAAAGCCAGAGGTGTTTGTCCCCTCACAAAAAAGCTGGGAGTTCAGCTGGACCCCAGCTGAACTACCTTCTTAGTTGAGGCAATCTGTATTAGAAACTGTGTTAGTAGCCAGTGTTCATCTGATTCCATGAACTCTTCTGAGGCAAACCATCCCTGCCACTATAAAGCTGTTGAAACAGCATATGACATTGCAAGCATGAGAAATGAGATCATTTAGGGATGCTAGAAGATGATGATTGGTTAAGTGAAACAAAAGCACTGAGATAACTCATGGCTGTGGAGATCACATACCAAGGAAAACATGCCAAGATTAAACCCAGAAGGACAGTTTAGACCCACCCTTCTCTCTGCTCAGGAAAATTCAAGCCACAATGTTTAATGGTCAGTTTAGCTCTATTTTCATATGAAACATCCCCAAGTGAATACATACAACTCCCTCCTCACCTCCTTGCCCTCTATCCAGCGACAATATGAATTAGGTAGTTGTGTGCTTATGTGGTGTCTTTGAAAGAAAGAAAAAAGGCTTTTCCCCACCTGTAGAATTAGCAGCATCTGAACAATGGAAGCTGGGATCTTTGTCTGGACCAGGGGAAGAATTTCTTCCAACTTCACTTTTAACAGGACCAAGTCTCTGAAACCAAGTAGGGCAATTTGGCGGATGGTCAATTCCTGACCCTGAAAAAAAAATAAAACACAGTGGAAAACATGTGCACAGTATGTATATAGCACAAGTACACACACATGGGCAGCCTGACTTGCAAGTTGCTGTAATGGTGGAGCACTCATTAGGGAGTTTCTAGTGCTCCTCAATAGCTTATCTGAGTATCACTGCCTTACTCTATGTCTGATCTAGGTGGCAAAACCTCAGAGCTCTGGCTTCAATCCAAATCTAGTGGGAGTCAAGCAAAAGTGAGCCACAGTCTCAGCAACAGGTGCAATGGTTGCAGTTAGGATGGGCAATGTGAAGCCAAGGGCAATGTAAAGCAGTTGTGCTGCTCCTCAGTTGTGTGGGGTAACTTTGCATATAGTGTACCTGAACTATGCCTATTTCTGATCTGTGTCCGATCTCATATATAATTCAACTTTTAACTTTGGAAATTGCCAATGAAAACACAATTTAATTAATTACTTAGTTATCTCTTCAGTTTGGCCAGACCATCCCGACCAACTCTGTCCATCAGGATGAAGAAAGCAGTGGCTTTGGTTTTCCAACATAAATATTTTTTTCTTCCCAATATTCTTTTTTTTGCATTAATGAGTTGTTAAACCTTTTTCATGTGCACCATCAAGATGTCAAAATATTTCACAGTACATTTCTCACACAACAAGTTAACCTAATCCAACACTGATGTTATTGTTAGCCTGCGCTAGGCCTGGCACACAGCTGCTAATCTCCTGCACCATCAAATCAGCTGCAGCAAAGGTTTAACTGTTGATATTTTTCCCCTCTCCCTTATCCTGTCCTATGTGGAGACTCTCTAGCTCTCTAGTGCAGGTTAACCTCTGCTCTATGTTCTGCTGTGGGATCATTTTACAACCTCCATCACACACCCAGTGAAGCAAATCTGACTGGTGGGAATAAATGCCAGTTAATCATTAATTCATAATGGGTTTAATGCTGCAATTAGCAATTATATCAATATTCAAATAAGACCTATAGCCGATGGCATCAAGTTTGGCCTGACCATTAAACAACTGCTTTGCTCTTTTAAAACAACAGAGTGTTTATTTGGAAATCCCAGGGTGTTGAGAGCAGCACAAAGGACTGAATTGTATTTTTGCAGTAACAGGACACTTTTCCTATTTATTTCATTTATGCAGTTTAATACCTCTATTTAAAGTCAAAGCACCACAAGATACCAGAGAAGAAAGGTGATGCCTTCTTTTTCTGCCCATGCCTAGTACAGCAGTCAATTTGACCTTAGTATCTCAGTGGAAGGCAATGACCTCTTTAAACTGCTTTCATCTATATGGGAAAGTTAGGTCTCCGGGTGGTTTAAGTTCATATCACAAAAGCCATAATTATATCCCCATAGAGGCAAGGAAATCACAGCCTAGTGATGTATCAAAACTGACTGAACCCTCTCAACAACAAAAGGCAGCTCCTGCAGACCCGTATGAAGCAACTGTGTTGAGGAAAATTTGCAGTCCAATCGTCTATGTAGTACCAGATACGGGGACAAGTACAGTTTATTTGTGTAAGAAAGGCACTGGCGTGGGATACAGCTGATCAGGATTCAGTTTCCAGCTCTGCCACAATTTTTTGTGTGTGACCCTGGGCAGGTCACTTAGGCCCAGATTGCTAAAGGTACTTAGGTGCTTAGATTTCACCGTTTTCAATGACAGTTATACACCTAAAGAACCTGGCCCTTCCGTTTCTCTGTTCTCCTTCCATTACTTCCTTAGCCTGTAGGATCTTTTATGAGAAGCTCAGATATCGGTGCTCCAAAGAAACACTAAAGGAAAGTCTATAAATAAATTTAGAAAAGGATGTCAATATTTTAATCTTGATAACATCTTATTTTAAGAAGCCACACAGCACTGCAGAGACTTTGGCTCAATTTCTCTCTAGAGAGAGAAACCCATTCTGCTGGTAGGATGCCAAAGCCCATAGGGTCAGTAAATGTCACTCCTCAAGGAACCAAGGTATCTCTACGCTACACTAAAGTCTTCAGTGGACAGACATATCCTTACCCTGTCAGGGTAGGCAACTCCAGGCCTCTAAATTAAGCACAACAGAAAAAGTGCAGACCTCTCCGTTGCACACTTTCCCCTAGCTCCACCCTTGTCCCCTTCCCCACAAGTTCCTCTCCCACACATGTGCACATACCTTCTAGCATCTGCAGCAAGGAAACAATAAAAACAAATATATCAGAGAAGTTTCTTTATACAAATCCTTAGCCCTTTTAGGAAATGCCAGCTTTAATAGGATAACAAGAAAGGGCAGCCTTCAAGTCTTACCTGCTGACGTGCAAGTGATAAAAGAAAAAAAGGCAAATGTATCTGCTCCTGGAAAGACCATCTCTGGCTACAAGCCAAAAAGGAAGGGTAATATTGCATTTTCCTTTCTTCCCCTACCGCAGCTAAGGCACTGTCTGTGCCAGTTAGATTTTAAAAATGTCAGGTTGTGGCTTGGACTAAATGGACTTCTAATACAAGTAGTCCATACAGTGCTGACTGTTATAAAATAGGTACCCTGGGGTAGACCACAGTGTCTTGACTTCAGTTTCATTCGATAAGACCTGTCGATTTTTCAGCCACTGGGGTGCCTCTGGCTCCATCCGGGGCTCTGCCTTTGGCACTTCACTGACTCTGCAACTTCTGTGGCTGGTCACCAAAGGCTGGTTGGCATTAGGGTAAATCCAGAGTCTAGTAAATCTAGGAAAGCATTATCAAAGGAACAAATGAAGGTATGTAACTTCCACTGCTTTTAATTTGGAAATGGGACCTTGAAAAATCTTCCACGGCACCTCAGATGTGTTATTAGTAAGTGGCCACATAGATAGGGAGAAACCAATGATGCCACTTTAGACCTATTTACAAGTACTCAGCAGCTGAGTTTAAAAATGGAGCATCCTTCAGAAGTGCATATAAATTTGTTTTGCTTAGTTTTTAGCATCAGAAATTCAACTGAGGAACTCTGAATGAACATATTTAGCACTTTTCTCCAATCATGAGAAATTGGAAAACATCCAAGAAATTCAAAAAAAATGCCTCTTTTGGTTAAAGTGATTTTTTTTTACATTTTGTTACATTACCTCTTCTCCCTGCCCTCAGGTTGTATGTTAAACCAGTTTACCTGGACTGGGTAGAATATCGCTTGGAGCGTAGGAAGGGTCTCGGTGAAGAAGTGATCCCAGATCTGAGAGAGGAGATCAATGCGATCTTCACCTAAATGTCAGGAATTTGGACAGAGAAAGTCCTTTTAGCCACCAGGTTAATGTCTCCAGGCTCTTTGCCCTTCCAAGTAAGTCCTGTTAGGCTCAAACTCCAAAACAGCTAGCTTCAGCTAAATTGTTCTTTGAATGACAGAGACAAAAGCCAGCAGCCAGAAACTGCTGAGATGTTCACAGTCCTAAGAGCAGTTCTGCCCCAAACATTAAACAGGTCATTTACAGTAAGAGGCCAAAGTATCTCCTTAGACTTAGGGTCTAGCTTCACACGCAAAGAACTTTTCAGTTTTGCATCTAATAACCAGAAGCTAATGTCCCATTATGGTCCCACTGCAGCAGCTGGGAAGAACCAGCAGGAGCCAGCCACTACGGTGCGTTTTGCAGAGGCTGAGTCAGGAAGGCTGTGCTGTATGGGTGGCTCTTTGAAGAGCAACATTAGTTCTGATATTTTTGCTGTCCCAAACATGAAGCCATAAGTCACAGACCCCTCGTGCGCATAAACATCCATGGATGTGTGGCAAACTAGAAAGCCATACAAATGAGAATGTCTCTTCTACCAGAGTTTTTCGTCAGACACCCGGCAACTCAGATTTCCAAGTGAAACTTGTTCAGTTGTATCAATCCGGACACAACAAAAGCCCCTAATATTGGATCATTAAAACTACAGACTGAAAGCCATGCAACCCAGAAACCTCCTCACAAGAACGTAACTTGACCACCAGGGGCCATAAGGTGATACATCAGCAATCATACAGTTGGTGAATGTAGTAGTGTAGGGTTGGGGGGGGGGATTCAGTTATGAGAATACAGAATTTACAGCACTGCTCATGTTTCCAAATACTTAAGCTGTGATCTCCAAGCTACGTAGGATAAGAGTTGACAACTTGCAGCTCACAGGCCAGATCCAGTCCACCAAGGCATTGGATCCAACCTGCAGAGCTGGGGCCTCAGCAGCAGTCAGCAGCAGGCGGCTTTGCCTACATCGTGCCATGGCTGGGCAGCAAAGAGAAGCAGCAGCAGCAACCAGATCCTAGTGCTGGCCTGTCTCAGACTCGAGCTGGGGCATGCTGCTGGAAAACATTGCTGATGCTGATTGCTGACTTAGGGGAGTGGCACTAAATCTTTTGGCCCCGCAAGACAGGTAGTCTGTCTGTGGGCTGGATTGGGCCCTATGTGCAAGATCAGAGCCCATGCTGCCCCTGCACACTCCAATTAGGGCTCGTGCTGCCTTGGTCCAACCTCACATGCCAGGATCAGCCCTGCCCTGCCCTGCCCCGTGAAGCTACAATGCTATGTGGACATATGGCTTTATGGCAGACTATGTGGAACATGGGAGCGGTAATTAATGGTGCCACTGCTCCCCTGCTGCCAAATATTCAGACTTGGGGGTAGCCCTACAGGTTAGATTACATGGCTCTACAGCTTTGGAAACTCAACCTTAAGCCTGTATGTAGCAGCAGTATCAGTTCATGGTACAGAGACTTTAATATAAGCTGCATTTCCTTGGAGAGTTGCCTATTAGCACCCAAATGTTTTCACAAATAAAGGGAAGTTTTACAAAGAATCTGTTTCTGCTTTTATGTTTCCCATAGATTGTTCCCCTAGCACACCTGTAGCACAGCACCCTTGCAAAACAGGACTTACAGAAGAGAAACTACAACAGTCTAACTTAACTCTGCAAACAGGATTTAAAGGCCACGTCCAGATGAGCATGGATATTTGGCTCCCCAGGGACAACCAGCAGTGGGACATCTTGTGCCACTGCTAGTTGTCTCCAGGGAAAGAAAGCCCATGCCATGCACCATCTGGCATCCATTAAGTTACCCTGGGTGGGGTAGAGGAGGCTGGGACCAGCACAGTTGCTGGTCCCAGCAGCCTTACCCCAGGTCTTGGGGGCCAGGGAAGCTACAGCCATGTCGCTCCTGCAGCTTGGACCCTGCCTGACAGCTGGAGTGTGGCTCCAGTTTTGGGTGGCCTGCGCTGTCCCCACATGAGCTGCCCTGCTTTTTTACTGCACAGGTTTTTTTGACCCCTGAATCTCCAGGGGTCACCCCCTCAGACCGCAGCGAAAGGCAGCAGCATTGGAAACACCTGAATGTGCATGGCTGTGCTCATCTTGGACACGGCCATAAGGAGTAAAGGCCCTACTGACTTCAACAAGATTGAGAGGTAGGGTTTATGGAATCAAGCCTTAATCTGCTTTTTAACCACAGTGAAAGGGATATAACCTACCCACCCATCGGCCTCTGAGCCAGTAACATATTTAGCAGCACGGGTTACTGAGTAAAAAGAGAAGGATGGAGATGTATGTGGTTGAGTTTCAGGATTTCCTCCTCCCTCACACCCACTCCCTATAACTATGCTCTTGCTGTGTGGGGGGCTAGAATTAAATGCTCCAGAATACTTTCTCTCACAAGAGAGGGAAATGGTGTATTTGTTTTAGAGGTCATAAATCCCACCAAAATTAAATGGAAAGTTTTTAAGACTGTATCTAGGAAAACACGGTAAAACTGGAAGTTCTGATTACAGAAAACATGCGCTGAACTAATAATGGTGCCGTATCCATAGCACAGGCGTTACTTCATCATCTCCAAACTGGCCCAAGAGGTCCCTTTGTGGAATCAAAACTTACAGTGAAGTGTGCACAAGCAGTGACAAGAAGCCAGATTCCCTGGAATAAGAATTTGGATAGTTTTATAAAAGATATATCCATTAAAAAAAAAATCTATGGGAAGAAAAGAAGAAAAAAATCCATAAATGATCTGAGTCCTAACTGCGGCGCAGAGATCGTAATGTACCACGTCTACAATACTATTTCAGACACAGGCCATATAAGGGAGCATATCTGCATCATTAGGTTGTGGGGTTTGCTATCAAACTAGAACAGAAGCAACCATCACTCTTCCCAAGTAATTCCAGCAGCCACAAGCTGGATCTTCACTTGTACGTGAAGTTGGGTAACTCATGAATGTGTGATAGACTGGAGCTTAGCTTTTTAAATCTGAATCACAAATTGCAACAGCTTTACATAGAGGCATTAGGATTTGGTCGGTTGGTTTGTTAAATGATCAATGTTTGTTGAGGAACTGGTAGCTAAAATAAATCCCCTTTTTAGGACACTGAACAGAATTTCACATTTAGTTTTAAGGTATAGTCAATGAACAATTTAATGCGAAGAGAAAAAAAAGATGGGGTGTGACAGTTGTCCATGTACTTAATCTTATCCCATGGGACATGGAACCAGTTTCGCTCTCAGTGACAGAGCCTGGGCAAACAAAAACATTATAACAAATTCAAAGGGGTTGGAGACATATCCAGGTGTCTGCTGTTACACTTTGGTAAGTGAAACCAGGACAGCTTAGACCTGAAAGAAACAGGGCTAAGCTACTGCAGTTTAGCTTTCACTTGCAATAGGATAAGACCAGGCACACTGACAGTAACCATAGAGCAATAAAACTCCAGCCCTATTCACGCCACAGTAAATTGTTCGTATGCCCATAACCATACTCTGCATATTGCATTCCTTCCCTCCCGTCCTGTCCCCTCCCCTCATCCAAAGAGGCAAGCAGTATATTAAGGACACTTAACTGACTGCCTCTTATGAAGCACATCAGACCCTGGGAAGGGGGCAACTGATGCTGTAGCTCATGCACTGGATTGTAACTGCTCAAGTCCCACAAGTTCCTTGTCAAGCTGAGAAATCAGCTTAAAAGAGAAGTACCAATAGTGATGTGAGAGTATGTGAATTCATTGGTGTTTAATGACCTACACAGAGAGGGTTAGTGGGGAGGCTGACTTGTGATCCAGTGTTGTGCCCTCTGACTGGCAAGTGGCAGTCTAGTTTTCAAGAAGGAGAGCTGTCCATGCCAGTCTGACTGAGCAAACCTATAATAAACATGACTTATCACCACAGACCAACCCCGATGGTTGCTCTGCCACTGCCCTTCCCCCACCAGACATCTAGATGCCACAGTCCTGATTAGGAACTAGTGCCAGCAGTTAACAGAGCCACCTGCTCCTCGCATATGGAAATATCAGTCCCCACTGAATTTTCATCCTCATCCAGGTGCAACACACATTCCTCTACATTTGCACAATGCCTAGTAGTTAAGCATTCAAAAGAAAGGACACAAAATCACTGGCACCGAAGTTACAGTCAGAGATACAACGCTTGGCCTTGCAACAAATAGTTTCAGACCATCTCAAGGTATTAGGCAAGAGCCTGAGAGGCTTAGTACTCGGTTTGAAAGAAGTACCCACATCAAAAAGCTTTAGTAATTGGGTTTAAAACTTCATTTCAGAACGATATTTGAACCTGGTGAAGAAAAGGGCTAATGGGAGAGTCTTGTATGTACCTCTGATTCAACATAGTCTGACATCTGCCAAGCAATGTAAATGCTTCACTGCAACCTCACTCCCAAGGGGGAGTGTGGACATCCTGTCCAGATAGGATTTTAAATCTTCCAGCCACATGAGTACTTTGGAGATGGTATTTTTTTTCCCCCAAGACATGCATCTCAGCTGTCCAAACATCAAAGGGTGACTCACAAGGGCCCATCAGGACCAAAGCAGTCTCTCAGTACTTGCCTTCACACAGTTTAACCTTCTCCTCTATAAACAGCAAGCCCTTCACAAGGAGCTGGTTCTGCCAAGAGAGAAGAAAGAGACATGCATTTGCCTTTTCCAAGACTTAAAATAAACATTCAAGACCGTGCATGGTTATGCATGGTATTTACTTTACATGCAGGAACCTAAAAATTAGTCATAGCCTCCCAGTGCTGCCATCTGAGTGGGTCACATAATAAAGCTCACACAGGCCAACTTGCTTGTCAACTGCAGATATTTCTGTGCAACAGAACAGGTGTAGAAAAAAATCATAACATTTATAACACTATCACACTTTACCATATTAGGAGGAAGAATGATTTTGGGTTTAGGCTGCAAGACTAGGAGTCAACAAGAAGTCTTCTGTAAGAAAAATAAATCACTAAAGGCTAGATTTATGAAGTCATACAAGTGTCTACGTGCATCTTCAGGCATCTAAATATCTTTGTACATCTTACCCATATGTCTCTATATTGTCTTGGTTCCCCATTTGTAAAAAGGGATTTATAGTACTTATCTATCTCTTAGTGCTATTGGGGGAAGAAAAATTAGTTATTCTGAAATGCCCTGACCATCTCAGATGGAAATAGCAGAGAACCATAAATAACTGTTAGCACTTCAGAAAAGCTGGGCCCCACCACAGCCATCACATGCTGTTTTTCGGGCTCTTTGGAAATGCTGCAATATCAGAGCAGACCTGAGTACTCAGGGACATGCTTTTCATGATGAAATTATGTCGCTCACTGGTTTTATTTGTTCTTTTCTAAATGGCATAACATCCCTGTGACCTGGTACAGAGGTCACAACTGTGCAGAGGTCACAACCTTCGTCCCCAATTCTTCTTTTACCAGTCTTAATGCACAGTACACAATATTCTGCCACAAAGAGACAGACCTCACACCAGCTGGAGCCAATGGCCTCCCTACCACATACTCAGATCCACACCGTCACTCTGGATGCCTGAAATGCTCTTGCAGTTATCTAATAGGGTGTGCTGGATCATGAGGGAAGCAAAAGGTTACAGCATGAATCAGCTCAAGCTAGGAAGAGAACAGCATGTCTCTGCATCCTCCAAAGCCAAGAGCAAAAAAAAACAATAGAGGACTGTAGTATTGCTGATCGTGTCTGTTGCTTTGTGACCCTTTCCTTAGTGCCCTGTTTCTACAGTAAGACATAGGCTTGCAGAACAAAGTCCTATATTTTAATCTAGGGCAGGACAGCCCTTGAGGAGTTAAGTTGAAACCCATGAGCTCCTGCTCAACCACTGCTCCCGCTGTATCTACAGCTGGGGGCTCCAGACTCCTCCTTCCTCTTCCTGCCTCTGCCCCAAAGGGTGGCACAGCATTGCAAAGCATAGGCGGGCATGTGGTACAGCAGTGTGGTGAGGTGCCCACATAGGCACATGGTGCAGCAGTGGGAGGGGTACTGAACAGACGTGTGGTGTAGTAGAGTGAACGCTAGTGCAGCCCACAGGGTGTACCGCCCCTGACCACTTGCAAGTTGGACAGCCCTAGTCTAGGGCATCATGAGAGAAGGAGGGCGTCATTTTTGTAATGTTAATAAAATAAGTTCCACAAGTCTTCAGCAAAACAGACTGAGACTGAGGGTGTGAAGAAAGATCTGCATCTCTTATTAATAAGGCAATGTCTGTGTGCACTAGCCTAGACAGGCGGGAGTGGGGAGGGGAATTTATTCTTCACAATGCTCTCAAAGTAGCAATAGCGTGAAGTGCTCCAGTAAGTAAATACTTTTTTTAATTCAGTACAGCAAGCAGCTACTTTTGCTCCCAATGAAAAAGTCACATTTCCCCCTCAACATCTTTGCCAAGATTTCAGACTGAAGCAATGAGCCACTGAAAGACCAACAGTTCATAACTTGCATACGAGGAGGCCTGAAACCACTCCATGCAACAGGAATTTGCCCCAAATAAACAGTCAAATGTTGTTCTCAAGACAATGAGGCTGCATGGGATACAAATCAAGACATAATTTACCTCCAAAATATATACATGCCAGGAAAGGCTTGTTAGAAGACTCATTTTTAGATACAAGTCCAGTTAATGCAGTTTACTTCACAAACGTGACCTAGAGACCAATGCTTTAATGCACATCCAAATGGGAAAAACACAGGTGGAGTGTATACAGCCCTCATACATTATTATTAATAACACAGTAGTAGTGTCTAAGGCAACAGTTCCCAATCTTGGGGTTGCGATCCAATTTGAGGTTGTAACGGTAAAAAAATGGGGTTGCGAAGACAATCACAGATTTTCTTTTAAAGGAGAAAAGAGAAAATGATGGGCTTCCCCTTGCAGGATGGCAGAGTTCCAGTCTGCAAGGTGCTGCTTGGGGCTGGGAAGAGCAGGAGGAGAGTGATCAGGCGGGGGGGTGCCACATGTATGTGCACACACACCCACGCACACACATACACATGCATGTGGCAGCCAGGAAGCATGAAAAGCAGCTCCGGCAGCTTCTTCCAGGTAAGTCTATGGTTGGGGGGCAAAATTGAGGCCCCCATGGTAAAGGAAGGAGGAAGGGAGTGGGGCAGGGCTGGGGCTGGGGCAGTGTATGGGACCTGGGGCCAGGGCGGGAATGTGGGGCCTGGCTAGGGGAGCAGGATGGAGTCATGGGAGGCTCATCTGGGGGACATCAGGGGGGCTGGCTCCCCGCTGCTGCATGCACTCCTGGGGAGGCTTGGGAGGGCATGTGCCCCCCCCAGATTTGTGCACAGGGCAGAGGTGAATGTGAGATGTCTGTTGCAGGCTTGGGGCTCCCCACCCTGCTGCCCTCCTCACAGGGCCTCCACAGCAGAGCAGGGCAGGAAGGCTCAGTACCACTGCTGGGAGGCTCACACTGGCCGTACTGCCATGGTGAGGCACCCCCTGCCCACCCAGTAGCAGCAGCGGGTGTAACTCTGCACTGCCACCACCGCTGCCACTGCAGGGGGTGCCTTACCCTGGTGGCACAGCTGCCATGGGGCTCATGACACCAACACCAAGCCCTGCTGCCCTCCCACACTAGGTCCCACCTGCTGGGCCATGGAGGCCTCCATGGGGAGGGCAGCAAGGCAGGGAGCCCCAAGCCTGCATCGGGCAGGCCACATCCACCCCCACCCATGGGCTCTCTTCCAGCCATGCCACCCATGGGGGAGGGGGCAGGGCACTGGCAGGGTCAGGGGCCTGTAGGTGAACAGCCAAGGGCACCTAGGGGGTGAGAGGCTGCGGATTGGGAGTGAGGGTCCATGCTGAGAAAATAGGGTCATGCTGAGGAAAAGGTTGGGAAACACTGGCCTAAGGCTTGGCTTTTGCTACTGGACACTCATAGTAGTTTCCATGGACCAGCCTTTGCTACCTAGTCCCCTCCTGGTGTGAACTGTAACATATGCATCAAAACTGACCAGGGTAGTTCTGCTGGTTTGTTCCAGGGACTTGAAATTGTTGATATACATAGGGGTGAGTATGTGAGGAATGGAGCCCTAAGGAGTTTTTGCAATTGAATTTTTCATCTATTTGCAAATGAAGCACAAATGACTGTCATTAACGTTAGTTAAAAAGTTCCAAATGCCGATAAGAGAAAACAATTCTATAGCTAGCAGAACCGTGGTTCTTATGCCTCCGGTGGTTCACAGCTTTCAGCTTAAGAGTATTTGACTTTCTCAACGCTAGTGATATTCTTTACTCTCTCTAAACCACCAGTTCACACCAAAACTGGCAACATTGGGAGAAACTCATGACAAATGTATTTTTAAGCACTAGCATAGCCAGATATGCTTTGAGCAATCAGATAACATTGTACTTAAATGACAGTTTGCACCCATTCATACTGTAACATACAAGATTGCTAACCAGAATCCGTTAAAAATCTTCCCCTAAAACAGTTTTTGAAAACCCAAAACTTTCTGTCCAACTAGGCTGAATTTTTCACTGGAAGTACTTGCTTTCTGCTTCTTTTTTTCAACAACAACAGAGATTTCCATGGAAAAAGAATTCAATTTTTTGCCTTGCTCTATTGTTAAGAATCAGGAGAGATGAACGTTAACAGCTGCAGGGAAAGCTGTTCAAATTTTCTCTTCTAGGAAGGACACTATCATTGTGTTGTTGCATTTTTACCAAGTTTCCCTAGCAGGAGGACATGACCTTGGAGACAATGTGTTGGCTTGTTGGGATGCAACATTCAGTTTGGACTCATTTAGCAGAATATGGTAAAATTGTCTGTTGCTTAGGTCTAGGAGAGAGTTTATTTCACTGCCAAAAGATACCAACAAGCCATTCCAAGCACTCCCTTCTCCAGATCATGCACTCAGCCAGGTACATATGCATTACGAATCTAATACTCTATAGTTTGCTGACAAATTCATACAACCTAATAAACACAGAGTGAAGGTTTGCAACAGACTGCTACATCACACAACTTGATCCTGCTTTTTCCCTGGTTGCTACAGGCAATATAGCAAGACATAGCCTGGGGAAAAAAGCAATCTAATACAGTTACAAGCATGATCAAATAAAGACTTATACCTAGGGACATCGCTTGAAGGACACTGCTTAATATGAAAGGGAACTTAGCTGGCTTCTAATGTCCCTTTGCTACTACAGCAAGATTGTATGCTAGCATAAGAGATAATTCCCCTTCCCAAGACAGCTTTCTCTTCAGCCCCACAGTGAGGTCTTAACCCTGCAGTTAGGATGCCACAGACTGTTATGGCTGTAGTGACGGAGGACAAATATGGCATTGTGACTTCATTGTGGAAAGAAGAGACTGACTGGAAAGGACCAAGGCCTTGAGTTTACCCCCACCTTTTCCAAGCACTTAGAGAGTTAAGCAGGTTTTTCTTCTCAGGAAAGATCAGCTGGGCACTATGTGTTTTCCTCCATATCGGGTGCATCGACACAAGCAATTAACTCAGAGCAATAAACTCTGGCACAGTTTGCACCAGAGAAATTTGCTCCCAAGTCCAGTATTTACATGTGTGGCTGTGACCACAGCAATTTGAGCTGAGGGGGAGCAGCTCTGGACTGGTAGGGGCACTGGGAGGTCA